AGAGCTGGAGAGAGCCTGGAAAGTAAAGGCATCAGTGGTGCCTGTGGTGATCGGAGCACTCGGGGCTGTAACCCCCAAACTGGAAGAGGCTACAACAGATACCGGGAAAAACAATGGACATCTCAGTCCAGAAAAGTGCAGTACTGGGAACAGCAAAGATACTGCGCAGAACTCTCAAGCTCCCAGGCCTCTGGTAGAGGACCCAAGCTCAATGAGGGTGAGAGACCAACCACCGTGGAAGGTGAGAAACACATTTTTTTATATATATCTTCATGGAAACCAAACCAGACAAAGTTACAGGTCAGATCTGTGGAGAGGCAACCCCACTCACAGTCAGAATGCCTGTTTTTTTAGGTATTTTTGAGCAATAGAACCACCTGAAATTAAATAAATGTAGAGATGTTTAATGTAAATTTTTGGCTACTCTTTCCACCTCTGGATTTTGGTTGTCATGTGTTGAGAATTAAAGTCTGTTACAACTTACAGCTGATTGTTGTTCCCATTATTGTCCAAAGAGTTGCCCACGCGGATCTCAGCACCGTCCAGTCTATGACCACAGCAGTCTCCTCTGTTTGTGATGGTGATGGAGGTAACTGTGTTCGACTCCTGCAGGTCCACTCTCCACCAGGGGTTAGTGGTGGTGGCTGTGTGGGTGCATGAGTCATGATAGTAGTTAGAATTGCGGTTACCATCAATGGCATTGGAAGCAGCTCCGAGCTCATCGTATGTGTCAATCTGGGTCGCTTCTCCGGTAAGAGCCAAATTAACTGAAAATCAACAAAAACAAATGTGTGGATTGCAGAATAGTTAGGCAAACACACAGAATTTCTCATTCTTACTTGTATTAGCAGAAGCTGTTTCCACAATGAGCAAAAACAAAACTGGAAGTTTCATAATGTTTCTGTAAAGAAATTATATCTATGAATACAATATGGTTCATAGCAGGAATGTAACAATATCCAAGTCTCGATACAATATTATCACAATGTGCATCTCACAGTATAATATTTATTGTGATATTTTGGCTAATATAATTGTAGATGGGATGCTTTTTTGCTTTTAAAATACCCTGACAAGAATTTAGTGTGAATTATTACTGTCATAATCTTAATAATTCAAGTAAAAAAACATATTTCTTCATATTCTTAAGCTGTGTGGAAAAATCCCTCAGTCGTCCAGGTAGAATCCATGGCAATGGTTCTGCTTCAGAACTGAAGAAGCAGCTTGGATGAGTTGCGAAATTTATTCATCCAAATAAACTTTTTCCAGTTGACAAATTGAATTTCTCCTTTGCCATATTTCTTCATGCTGTCTGCTCTGAAATGAATCATGGTATATGTAGTTACCAATGTTTATTAGCTAGTGCTACTATCAAACCATGCATTTAAGCAAAATAACTTGTAATTCCATATATTGTGACACCCCCATTATTGTGATTTCATATTTTGGTTATTGTTACATCACTAGTTCATAGCAAGGTTGTCAAAAGAATTAAAAATCACATACTAATAGGTACTAAAACTAATACTGAACCTAAATGGTCATATTTTTATACCTTTCCCCTTTCAAGGCACTCAAAGCGCCTTACAGCATGGTGGCGTAAGGACACAACAACAGCATTCATCTGTGGGAGTTGGAATTGCACCAACAACCCGTATACCAATGTTTTTACACTCTACCAACTGAGCTGCTGTCGCCCCTGACACCAACTAGATAATCATTTGGACAAGTATATTAATAACAAGGTAAAGGTACACTTTATTGGCCCTGTAGGGAAATTTGTCGTCTGCATTTGACCCATCCTTCAGTGTTACACGGTTACAGTGCTTGGGGACCCATCTTCATGATTTTGTTGCTAGACTTGGTCAGGACTTTGGCAGGAGAATTTGACCTGTAGGTGTCTTCAACATACAGGCACTTTTGCTGTTACTTAGACTTAGACAAACTATATTGATTTACAAGGGGAATTTTTTGGACACAGTAGTTCACACATCACAATATAATATAATAACAAAAAGCAAATACAGCCCTTGTGTGCATCTACACTGGACCCCACCAATCTCCAATCCCTAAGTTAACTTGAAAACTACCACTACATGAAATCACAAAGTGGAGCAGAGCATTTTGAGCTTTGGAGATGTAGACAGACTAATAATAAAGGATTACTCTCAAGTGTGAATGAAACAAAACACAACTGCAGGTCTGTTTTTGATGTGGAAGCAATATTATACCACACTAGTTAATCCGAAAATTGCATAATACTGGATCTTTATTTAAAAAAAGAAAAAAAAGGAAAATCTGAATAAAGAATAAAGACCTGCATAATAATATTTGTAATATTTGAAATGTAGAAGCAGAACTTACCTTAATTTGAGAAGAGAGACAATATGCTTCAGATGACACTGCTGCTGCTGCTTCAGGTCAAGAGTCAGTGCCTCTTTGTATTTACACACAAGCTGTGTTTTTATCAACTCTTTCCAGTACAAACACTTCCTCATGAATTGACGCACTGCCAAATGAATCACATCTGCAGAGCTTCCCTGTTCTTGTTATTTTGCAATAATTCCAGCAAATGCCTGTTCAGCCAATTTAAAACTCACTGATGACACATTTGGGTCTGGTCAAGTGGTAACAGAGGGAAACGGGCAGATTTTTTAGATTCAAATAGTTCTTTTTCAGAAACTAGAGGGACTATTGAAATAAGTAAAGTATCAGAATGTAGGAAAGAGTTACACTCCAACAGGGTCAAGTTAAACCTGTGATATTCTTTCATGTTGTTGACAAAGAATTTAAAAACTCATGTCGGTAACGGAGGGAATGAAATATGCTGCACTTTTTGGGCAATAAATACAAACAGTGATAACTCTTGGTTCTCACTTCCATATCCTTAACAAACTGGTTTGAATATTTGCTTCATATAGTTTTCTACCATATGGTACAAGATTAGGTTGAAAAACCTCTTACTTTTTGACTCATGAGATTTTTTTATTAAGAAAGGTCATGGTAACGGAGGGAAAAGTAACGGAGGGAAAATTGTGCAAACAAGTAGAAGGTGCAGGATTTTGCATAATTTGTCATCTTTTTTCTTCCAAATACTTTAATATTACTTCAAAATGAAAGGAAACTATTTCTATAAAATATGTCAGTCCTTCCAAGCAAATTTTTTTTCATTTTAAATACTTTTTTTTTTTTGAACCTTCATCAACAGTTCAAAGATGGAATAACACAAGATATGATGAAATACATCCATTTATTTACATGATTTGCAGGTCTTTGAAATTTGGGAAATAATTTTTGTTCCATGTTTCATACATGGTCTGTTTAAAACTTCTATGTAACTTTAGAACCAAAAATGGTACAGAAAAAAGGTAAACAGTCTCAGAAACAAGAGTACATATCAGATGCATTAACTTGAATTTTTGGCCTTGCTGTTTACTTCTGCATGACCAGGCCCATTTGCGTCAATAGGATGCATGGACTTCATTTGTTTACTCACAGGTGCATACACACACTGGAGAGTTACTTGTTAAATGCATTAAGTTCATGTGTGCACCAAATATGTAATAATAGCCAAGAGTTTCATGCTGAGGAAATGCACCCTTCGAGGCAACAGTTAAACTGAATAATAAATTAGAGAGAAAATAAAAAGCATTTTGCTTTGTAAAAGACGTGTTTGGGAGTGGCACCTCAAAATGTCGTCCTCTCTGTTTTCTTCTGCATGTTTCCCTTTCTCAAACTCTGTTCAAACAGCTCAGAACAGGAAATGTTGCTCCACTTTGTTTGGCTGTTGAGAGTTAGTGCTCTCACACACCTGGGATGCTGTCCTGAGGAAGTCGGACTGCAGATGGCGCTGTCGTCCTGCCTCCACCGGTAGGAAGACAGCGCCAGAACCTGTTTAAATCAGCTGACCAGACACGTCACAGCAACATCACGTGACCACTCTGAAGAAGACGCTAGTGAGCAGTCGAAACTGTCACGTATGAAATAACACTCTAGGTCTGAAAAAAAGAACCTAATAACATAGGTGTTCTATCCTATTCATATCCGGAGAATAAGGCGACCGGTCCATAACCTGCACGTTGTTTTCGGCCAGACACTCCTGACAGATGCGTGCGATATGCGGACGCTAGGGCTGGGTATCATTAAGAATTTGCCGATACACAGTGTTGTGAAGGTTACTTTTAAACTGTAATCCCCTACAGATTACAGATTACATACCTCAAAATGTAGTTTGTAACGTAAACGATTAAATTACTTAAAGTGAGTAACATAATCTGAATACTTTGGATTACTTGATTTGCTGTAGAGAAGCAAAAACTCGGATATCTTCACATAGGATGTTTTATCTGTTAAAGACAATAAAAAGCCCAGACTTTACTGAACCAAATTAAAAACATTATTGATAGAAGAGGAGGAGACACGGTCCGCACAACATGGTTTAGTCCTGTTAAATCCTGTTTTAGTCTTGTTTTATTCCTGGTTTAGTCCTGGTTTAGACCTGGTTTAGTCCTGGTTTAGCCCAAAATGTGAAAACAGGAAAATACCGCCGTGTAATCCATTTATTTCAACAAAGTAACTGTAATCCAATTACCACTCACTGAAACAGTAACTGTAACTGAATACAGTTACTCATAATTTGTACTCTGATTACGTAACTCTGGTACATGTAATCTGTTACTCCCCAACAGTGCTGATACGATACATACCTCGATACACAGGCCACGATACGATACATACCTCGATACAGTGACCTTTCGATTCAATACGATATATTTCAAATTGATTCGATGCAATTCAATAAAAATAAAGGCAAAATCATGTCTGTGATACTGAGTCTTTGTTAAACCACTTTTTGTGCAAAGTTCAACAAACATTTTAATCATCAAAACAGTGAAAATATCAAATGTGTCGCATAAAAAAGTTTCCTTCTTCTAAACAAGCACCAAAACTGTAGCTCTGTAACAAAATAATTGAGTAACATATACCAAAAATAATCTTGGTGATATATCGATACAGGAACCCACAATATCAATACTGTATCATCACATTAAGCAATACGATATATTGATATTTCAATATTTTTGCACACCCCTAGCGGACACATCTGAGCATACCAATGGCCTGCTCTCTCTCGTTTGCTGCTAAGCGTGGCATGATGACCGTGTGCGACATCTTTCATTTTTCCTCCGGGTTTTTAAAGTCTTCACCAACTGAGCTCAAATCATCGAAAGAACTCGTCGCAAGTTTTCAAACAATGTCCTTACGACTCACACGTTGAAAAATAGGGATTGGCACCGTCCATTATTTTGTTCTTTGGGCTGAAAGGTGTGGCTCCATTGTTTCATAACCCACGACTGATCGTAAACAAAACAGTTTTTGTGTACAAAGTTTTTTTATTCAAAATAATTTGGTATTTAACTTTGTTGCATTTTTAATGCCTCAGGCTACGTTCAGACAACTCAATTCAGATTTTTTTGTGAAATCCGATGTTTTTGCGAGGTTGTTCACATTTCCAATTAAATATGACTTATATGTGATCCCCTGTGTGAACGTAAAATGGCCCGAAAGTGTCCCCATTGCACACTGGAGACACGATGACGTCAACCGCAGCGAGCGTGCTCTGTGTTTACGGAAGTTGTCCAAACATGGACGCAGCATTGAGCACCTGGAGATTTTAAAGTTCCTCTCGTACCGGAGCCAGAACATGAACAACTTACTTGTTTTAAGGAAGAGATTGAGAAGGAGAAGGACAAGGTTTTTGGTCGTGGTGTTTTGTGGGGCAGCGGCAGCGACGTCCGTTGAAAGGAACACGTGGATGTGGAGACGGAGCCAAGAGTGGTGAGTGGTGATGTGCTTCACTTCAGTGACATGGAGTTCATTAACAATTTTCGCCTACTTCAGCACAGAATAGTGACGTTTGTGGCTTGTTGATAACGTGTAGGTCGAATGAATGTGCTTTCACACTGAAATCGCATGTCAAAAGATCAGATATGTATCGGTTTTAGGACCACATATCCAAGTGGCCTGAGTCGCATTTGAAAAAATCGGATCTGTGTCGCTCAGACTGTCATTAAAAGATCAGATTCAGGTCACATAGGGGCCAAAAAATCGTATTTGGGTCACTTCAGGCTGCAGTCTGAACGCAGCCTTAAGGGCTGTTCACACCAAAGCGTCAAAAAACGCCTTGATGCCTCTATTTGGGCTCCTTTGCATTTGAGTTTCAAAAATACTTGACGCGCGTCTGTTGCCCTGGAAACAAGAGCCCGGTCCTGGTCTTTTCCCGAAACAATGTCAGACCAGACTGATAGAGTGTTTTTATGACATAAAACATCAGCGGAGGAGATCGGGTCGACGACTGGGGTGTATATATATTTATACTCCACTAATGACACTGGATCAGTCTCGGTCTAGTCCTGGTTTGGTCCCGGTCTAGTCTCGGTCTAGTCTCGGTCTACTCCCGGTCTAGTCCTTGTTTAGTCCCGGTCTAGTCCTGGTTTAGTCCTGGTCCGGTCCTGGTGTATTCCTCGCGATCGGCTCAGTGATTGTGGCGTATATATTTATGCTCCGCTCATGTTTGTGGTTCTCGCTCCGGTTCTCGGGTCTTGCTTCCTGATAATAACGTTGCTGCGTCACTGGATACTCTTCCCTGATTGGTTGATGCGGCGCGTCTGACGCGAAAAGTTCAGCATTTTCAACTTCTTGACGCTGACGCCTTGGACGCGCGTCTAGACCGCTGACACCAAAACGCTCAAGACGCGCCGCGTCGACGCCAGATTCGCGCCGCGCTGACCCCGAAAACGCGCCGCAAAAACGCAGGACGTTCTAGTCGCGCGTCCACATACACTTTACATTGAAAGTGGACGCTTTGACGCCTTGGTGTGAACGGCCCTTTAGTGTATATTTATTTAATGTGTTCAGACCCTGTGCCAACGCCGCAACAAAAAGACGGAGGCGAGAGGTTGGATTTTAAAATAAAATATAGTTATGAACTAAATCACAAACAAAACATACACTGTTACTGTTACTGTCTTTGGCCTTTACACGACTCCTTATTTTTGTCTCATGATACAAAGGCAGAGAACACAAACTGACAAATAAGGGTCAAAGGTCAATTTTGAACATATAAAACACAATATTTTTCAGGGTATTTATTCACATGATAAAGTATGTCTCAAATACAAACAAAATGACATGAACTCATTTTTGATGTTACAGCGTTTTGCCTTTGTAGGGCAGTATTGTTCGATAAACAGGAAGTGCACTTAGCATACTAACTGTTGTAAGCTTTAATGTCACAGCAAAAGTTTGTAGTGAATAATTAGGATGCTCTGAAACCAAAAGGTACGTGAGGAATAACTTTGGATTGCAAACTGTTCAAAATGAGCCAGATCTGTTTTTCACATTTTTAGACAGCAGAGGTGGGACTTGGACTCGAGTTAGACTTGAGTCACTATTTTTAGGACTTAAGACTTGACTTGATAAAATGGACAGACTTGGGAC